GTCGAACTCGATCAGCGCGTTCCTCTTGTTCGCCTGTACGAATCCCGCATCCGAAGGTTCTTCGAAGGTCCGTCGATTTCGATACTCGTACGAAAGGACAGTCCTTTTCCCGACAAGTGTCGCGTCCCGTGCGTCCCGTGTTTTTTCTACCCTCGACCACCGACAGTTTTCCCATCGAGAGACGGGAGATCTGAGAGAGGACGTTCAGAGGGAGACAACGGTGCCTTTTTCGGGATTAACGATCTTCGGTCCGAGACGCATCGGAAATGGCATAGGTACGGGTGCGCGGAAGATGAAACGCGCCGACGTTGCGGTCGGACGCGTTTCCGAGCATCGGACTCACAGGTGGCTATGATCTCGACCAGAACGGCTCAATCGAGCCGCCGTAAGCGACCGTCCGCAACCGCGTTAACGCTCTAAACGCGACGTCTCGTTTAAACTGCTCGCGACGGAACGATCCGCGAAACTCTATCCTCTCCAGCCATTGATTCGCAGGCGACGTCGCGACCTCCAAGGAACCTCCAAGGAACCTCCAAGGAACGTTCAAGGAACGTTCAAGGAGCCTCCAAGGAGCCTCGGAGGGAGCTACCTATGGAACGTATCGTTTCTAATCCGATTTTCGCGACGACGAGTTCAGGTATCGCGACAGCGGTTTGGAGAACCCCATCGCGACAATGGAATCGCAAAAGGTCGCGGTCGTCCTCGCAGGTGGCGAGAACTCGTACCGTCGCTTCGACGTCGACGAATTAATCCTGTTAGTTCACAATGACGGGAAACAATGGCCGCTAGGCAAAATTCATCCGATTTCCCCGGACGGGATTAACCGACCCTCGCTCGCCTCCCCACCCCTATTGGACCGATCCCCCGTAAATCCGTAATTTACACGCTAGTTGCGGGAAAGCCATTAAGCCCGCCAAAGGGCATTCTTCTCGATCGCTACGCGCCGAAAATATCGTCCTCGTACCCTTCGGGTAGGTATGCGCGTCTCGAGCTGCGTCGGATGTGTTCGATTACGATATCGATGCGATCCTTTTCGTTCGGACGATGCACGCGTCGGTTCTCCTCCTGCCGAGCAATTTCAAGACGCGTAGTAGGTCAAACGACGATTCTATACAGCCATTTTGGTTTCTATTTTGGTTTCTATTTTGGTTAAGTTGCTAATTTTTCGCGCTATTCGGTGTATAGGAAAATATGTACCGAATAACGCAACGCGTGGTCGCTACACCGTTAACGGTTTCAATTTGGACGCGTCGCTGTCGCTCCGAATAATCGTACACTACGTTTCCTAGATCGAATAAATAGTACCCTCGACGAGTTGCCAGGGCCGGAAATTTTGAAGGTACGGGAAGAATACGAGGCACGAAGAAGAAAAACCTGAAAGCGGTCACGCATCGAACGCTCTAGTTGCTGTCGCGAGTAGACAGTACCCGAAGAATAAATATTTGAAGGATAAACAGAATAAAGAGAATTCAAGGGATCAAGACGGGAGTCGGAGAGCGAAAAATCGCGCATATAATAATCCCGGTGACGCGAATAATAATAAATTTAATAAATTTAATAAATTTAATAAATTTAATAAATTGAATAAATTTAATAAGTTTAATAAATTTAATAAATTTGATATGAATTGTTATATATAGAAGAAGGGGACACGCGGAAGTGCGGAACAAAGCACCAATTCGATACGAAAAATGAATCCCAAGATGCAAACAACGTGGTCGACGAAGACGCACACTTCGGCTGCGTGGGAGAAATAAATGAAAGTGGCGAGACAGCCAAAAATGAGAATAATTGGATTCTGGATAGCGGATGTGCAGCTGAAATCGAAAATGAAGTACTGAATTTAGCAAGTAGCTCGTCAGCAAGTGTCGAAGGCATTGTAAGTATAAATATGAAAACGGAAAACGATCGAGAAAGAAACATAAAACTTGAAGATGCTTTATATGTACCAGACTGGAATTTAGTAGCCAAGATAGTCGATAAAGATAATATAGTAATTTTTAAGAAAGGCGTAGCAATTATGGAAGACAAGTGTAACGATGCAAAAATGAGAGCCAATAGCGATATTCAATAAATTGAATAAAAGTTACGTGTAATTAATAGTAAAATACAATTAATATTAAATAGTTGATTTATTCCTGTTCAGGACACCCTTGCCCACAGACTTTTATCGTTGCGTTAGCATTGTCTCACCGAGACATCCTTCAGGAGAGTTTTCATGGAAATCATGGATACAAATGTTCTCGACACGGTTCTCACCGACTCCAGATTCAACAACTTTGGCCGAGGGACACGTCAACTGCCACGTCACCTATGTACGGGACGACGGAACTTTTCGCTAAGAGTTTAAAACACGTATTCTGAAGTGTCAAAGAAAATAAATCCGGATAACTGATTTCTGATGTTGCAGACCTACCGTGGCAGATCTTGGATAGTTTGAAATTATTCTGAAATGAAATGTTAGTCCTGTACAAATTCTCAGCAAAATTAGCGCGAACGTTAACATCGTTCAACGTGTTGAATGAAAAAACGACTTCGGTCGATTTCGACCGACAATGAATTCGATCGACGACAATTATCGTGGACAAGTATCGCCCGACAGGAGGCTTAGTCCGCGGCAACACCGAGTCATTGCGTTACCATGACTTAAAACCACCCTGGAAACACTCATTTCGCCAGTTGCGATCCACTTCGCACGCGACAATTGTGAAAGAATTTCTCAGCTTGCGAGGGAAGCTTCGAAAAATAATTTGAGATATTTTACGCGTCTCCTGTTTTTGAATTCGTGCAATAATCGTGGAATTGTTAACACTCCTTACGATATCGCTCCCAGAGACTTATCATTGACAAATTGACGCATTTACGGAGACTATACTGTACTTGACCCTCTTCTACAATCTTGCCGTACTACCGAACCGATTTCCCTGCACTTATCATAGACAAATTGACGCATTTACGGAGACTATACTGTACTTGACCCTCCTCTACAATCCTGCCATACTATCGAACCAATTTTCCTGCACTTATTATAGACAAATTGACGCATTTATGGAGACTATACTGTACTTGACCCTCTTCTCCTACAATCCTGCCGTACTACCGAACCGATTTCCTCCTAAAAAAGTAGCTTCACAGCGTCCAACAAACAATATTTCTCCCTACAGGAGAACTTTTTCCAACTTTTTCAAACACCAAATTTCTACTTGTACATATACTTATACTTGTACATATACAGCCCTTCGATTTACAGCGCCCTATTGATTTATAACTGAATTCAGTGTTCAGAGTTGCGCGATACGAGAACCTAACGACGGACCTGACGCGTGGATCGCTGTTGACCCAAGAGAAAAGTTAATTTTCGAGCATCTTCGATAGACATAGAGGGTAGGAATGCATGCGAGACCGCACGCGTGGTTTCCTCGTTAAAAATGTCGCGGAGAAATGGTCGATAATGCGATCCATTTCGCATGCGACAATTGTGAAATAATTTCTCAGCTTGCGAGGGAAGCTTCGAAAAATAATTTGAGATATTTTACGCGTCTTCTGTTTTTGAATTCGTGCAATAATCGGGGAATTGTTAACACTCGTTACGATATCGCTCCCAGAGACTTATCATTGACAAATTGACGCATTTACGGAGACTATACTGTACTTGACCCTCCTCTACAATCCTGCCGTACTACCGAACCGATTTCCCTGCACTTATCATAGACAAATTGATGCATTTACGGAGACT